TTCAGGTTTACACCATGACGTGTGCAATTATCAATAAACTCCAAGTTTATTATGATATGGGTTTTTATATCAATAAACATCCACTTTAGTGTGGTATTCTTTTATTTGTGTAGTACAAACTGGAGAATAAAATGAGTAATTTTTTACATACATATTACCCTGCTACAAGTTGTAGTAATAGAAAACATCAAATATTTTCTTTATTTATAGTCTCAATATAACCAAACCGCTTTCGCGTATAATTTGGAAACTGAATAAGCTTCTTTGAGACTTACTACAACATAATACCTTATTGGTAATCAATTGCGTTTCTCCAAAATAGTATAATTGGCTCTTGCAGAGTTCCCAATTAATTTTGTAGTACCGCATATTCATCAACATCCATATGGTGAATATCTCTTTTAAGAAGGAAGTTATACCATTATGGTTATGGTCAAAATTATATGCAAGATATGTTTCTTGCATTACTGTTGTCTTTAAATAATCATATTGTCGAAATATTTTTGCGTATAATAAGTACGTGACCAATGACCATTTATGCCATAATAATGACATTATTTTCTTATTTCCTCTCAAATCTCCTTCTAGAGGTGAGTGTGGTATATACCACTAGCACACTCATATTCTTCCAAGAATGAATATGTATTCATAAATCACATGTTGTCACATTCACATCATGAATGAACCATAATCATCTCTATGTGCTTTACAAAATCTCATGTCAAATCGGTGACAAATATTACTTTCACATAGTGAAGATTATTTTGAGAATCCTTATTGTTCTCGTTGTTACAATAATGACGATTATAATTTCGTCTATTGCTACGTCCACATTCATTGATACATTCATAGTAATAATTTTGTCTTCTTTCAGACTTATTACATACTGCAATCACATTCTCTTAAGGGAATAAGAATGGAGCAAATTCAATGGGATGGGTTTTTAATTCTTTGCCCACAATCATACATGAATTTGATCATGGCAAGGCATATAAATTTTACCACTTTGGGTGGTTATAATTTCTTTCAAACTCCATTAGAGTTACAATCACATTTTATCGTCTTTGCTTGTATTTAAAATCAAATTATAGAATGTCAAAAATTTGAAAGAGAAAAGTAAAATACTTACCTTAAATCCAGAATTTAATCATGAAGGAAGTTCATGGAACAATTGACAATCATTATGCTCAATCCCAAATCTTCTACTCAATTGATTAGCGTCTCGTGCTGATAACGTATTATAAAACAATAAAAGAAGAAGAATAGTATTGCAGAGAAAAGCAGAGAGAGAATTCTTATTGATATTGGGATGAATTACAATGGAATAGAACCCTCTATTTATAGGGAGAGGGTGATTTAGCCACCAAGTAATGAATCTTAAAATCTCTTTAAATATAGACATTCACCATAAATAAAATTCTATTTATAACAAACTAATTTTTTTTTTGTAAAAATAAAATTTTTATTCAACCAAGTAAAGATTTATACACAACTAACTCTTTTGGACTTAAGAGTTAGTGTAGACAATCAATTGCGTCGAAAAAATAAAATCAAGATCGAAAAATATTGCAACAATTGTAGTATTTGATTTCGGGTAATTTAAGTGTTACAATCTCTATGATTCCTCTGATTCTACTTTTCCAATATAAATTCAAGGGCCTTTGAGCTTGAGCTTGAATCTGAATTTGATTTATCCATTATGAACACTTTGATTGTTGCCACGAATTGTATCACGAACAAGTAACCTTGATCTTGAACGCCTTGTATTTAATTTGATTTCGTTCTTGATCTTGAATACTTGAAATTTGTGTTGAAGTGCTTGAATGCTTGAACATTTGCAGTTTGCAGAGAATTCTGGCGTTTGATCCACGAGCTCTCTTGTGTCTTCTTGTTATAATTCCTGGTGTCTTTTCTGAGTTATAAAGACCCCTATTTATAGTTGTGGGATGGAAGACTTGTGATGAGCACAAACTCTTTCCGACCAATCAGATTGAAGAGTGACAAGGTCGCATTTGATTGGCCAGAATATGTCACTTGCACATGTTGCGCAGTTTCATTAGCCTTTTAATTTGATTTGGCATACCTTGTCATTTTGACACGTGGCATGGTCTCATTGTCTCTTCTTTTTGACTTGGCATGCCACATCATTTGACACGTGGCATCAAACTGGACCTCTAGGAAGATGACATCTTGGGCTAAACTCATCACTTTAGCCCAATGTATTAAGACTTATTTATTTAATCCATATATATTGGACTTATATAATTAATTCAATTATATTAACCCATAGTATTTATTTGGACCAATATATCGTGAATTTAAAATATAATCCAAATTATTTCATGGATTTAATTTTAATAAAATTTATATGTCTACAGTTAGTTCTCTAGGAAAATTAAAATTATGTTATAATCTATTTATGCTGGGTAAAAATTCAACCTATCTAGTATACTCTTCCATTTACAATTGCTTTGTCCTTTAACATGTAACTGTATAACTGATAATAGGTGAATTTAACTATAATTAGGCCCTAAATAACCATCTTCTTGTATAGTTTGGATGATAAAAGTGATAACAAAATGCTCTTGTTAGTGTTTTTCATGCTTTGCAGGTTATATATGATCAGAGAAGGCTATGGAGTACTTTTGGGATCAAATATGGAGAAAAAGAGGCCGATCGTAAAATTCCGTCAAGTAAACCACGCGAAACAGCTCAAGTCAGAATTGAAAGAGTACTGTCGCGGTTCCACCGCGACCGCGGAAGAACCACGGTAGAAGAGGGCTGCAAACAAAGTGAGAATCAGATAGCAAGTTTGGCCGCGGTTTGACCGCGGTGGAGGCAGAGAACTTCAGGGACTAAAGTGTAAAATACGGGATTTGTAGCCCAAAACCCTATTTTAAACACTAGACTTCACCCAAGAGATGCATGTATTATTTTGGAGAGTTTTTTTGGCAAGAGGAACAAGTGTGAGTGAGCACCCAAAACATCTTGGTTTCTTCTTCTCTTTATTTTTCTTGCAAGTTTTATGATGAATATTGTTTTAGTTTATTTACCCATAGTTATGAGTAGTTAAATCCTTTGTCTAAGGTTTTGATGGAACCTATTTGGGGATGAACTTCTTGTTTATGTTAATACAAGTTGCTAGTCTCAATCTTTACTTGTTCAACTTTGTGTATGTTGTAGTTAATTGACAGGATCCTAAAATTAGCTGTGCCTATTTAGTGTGCATAACTCGGGAGAGAGTGCATATTTAGGTTATTGTTGAATAACACCACTCCCAAAGTATAAGAGGGATCTATAACTGCGGGTTTAAAGGCGGGATTAGGGATAACGAAGCCTTGAGTGCAATCTAAAGTGAACCGTGTTAATTAGAGCTAGCTAGTGTACCTCGGGAGAGTGCATTGAGTATATTACTGTGATTACTCAGTAGAGAATTACGGTAAGATGAGCGTTCATGGTTGATAGAGAGGTGTTGGTCAATTTGTATGAAGCATAAACAGAAGGGATTCCATCAATAGGGGAAGTCATTACCTTAGCGTTTTCTCATTATAGTTTACAACCTTAGAATCCTTAGTTTACAGCTGTTTATTTAATTGCAATTTTAGTTATTGAAGACACCATCAATTGTGATTCAAATGTTTGGGGAAATTGGTTCTCAAGAGTTTAGTAGTTCTAAAGATAGTGATTGATAGGTTAATTCTCTGTGGATTCGACTTTGGGCAGAATACACAGGTTATATTTGCAACGTCCGCATTGTCCTTTTTATAAGGCATAGTTGGGCGTGATCAAATTTTGGCACCGTTGCCGGGGAACTAACGGAATTATCAATTACCATTAATAGAAATACAAAAATTCTTAGTGTAGTCAGTTTTCTCTACACCAAGTTTTGATTGAAAATTTTGACGGTTGTTAACGTGGTTGCACAGGTGTATGCCTAGAAACTCTACGAGGACTGGCGAATTACTTGAAGGATTCTTAGACCCCGAGAAAACATTCCAAAAATTGAATCGTGCCAACAAAAGACTTCAACAACCTCATCAAACACACAAACTTGAAATTGACATGGGTGACGTAGACAACGTCAACGGAAACGTCAGAGATATTGCACCTCCTATGCCTGAGGCTGCACTATATGACTGGGCACAACCCACAACTGACAATCTGGCCACTGCCATTGTTGTGCCCACGATACAAGCTGAATCGTTCCATATCACGAACAACATGCTGCACTTGCTGCAAAACAAGGGACTATTTTCTAGGACACCAGCCGAAGATCCTCAGCAGCACTTGAAGAACTTCCTGTCGATTTGCAAAACTCAAAGGCAACCCAATGTAACTTAGGAACAATCAGACTGTTATTATTTCCATTCTCGGTGACAAGAGCTACTCAGGTCTGGCTAAACTCACTCCTCGTAAACTCTATACAAACTTGGGATGAGTTAGTCAAGCAATTTCATATCAAGTTCCACCCACCCAACAAAACAGCTCAACAAATTGATGAGATCGTGAGCTTTAAACAGAAACCAATGGAGACACTACATGAGACATGGAGCCGTTTTAAAGGAATATTGGTTATATGTCCACACCATGGTATTCCAGATCAGATGTTAGGACAATGGTTTTACATGGGACTGTCAGATAGCATGAAGAACATTGTAGATACCTCAGCTGGTGGGGCATTTTTGAGCAAAACATGGAGAGAAGGTCAGAGTCTGCTTGACAAAATGGCTCAGAATTCGGGGTGGACGACGAGAAATGCACCTATCACTCTAGTGGTACACTCAGTGCCTTTTAATCCATCAAATTCCATGGCTGAAAATATGGCGACCCTTTTGACACAGATGAGCATACTCACCAAAAAGGTGGAGGAATCAGGGCAGAAATAGCAAGTGCACATTGTAGATACTACCAATGGAGGCTTGTGCACATCTTGCATTAGTCAGCCAGTTGGTAATCCTTGGAATGCAGAACATGATCATCATCAGCAGCACCCTGAAGACATGAAATATGTGTCAAACTATGGAGGCCAGAGACAGGGCAATCAGAACTGGGGCCAGCAAACTCAGCAGCCATACAGGCCACTTCAGCCACAGTACAACGCTGGAAACATGGGATGTATGAGACCTCCCAACAATATGGCACCTTATCAAAGGGCACAAGGGTACAACAATCAGCAGCAAGGGTATCCCCCACCTCAGCAACCACATGGTGGAAGGCAAGAAAATAGGTTCACGAGACTTGAAGCAATGATGCAGCAGGTTATTGGGTCCAATGCAAAAATAAATGAAAGAGTAGATGCATATGACGTAGCAATCAAAAATATTGAAGTGCAATTGGGCCAAATTTCAATGTCTCTGAACAATCGTCCTCAGGGAACATTACCAGCAGACACCCAGATTAATCCAAAAGATCAGGGCCCAAAGCAGCTGATGGCGGTGAGTCTCCGTAATGGCAGGGATCTAGATGTAGAACAAGAGAGAGCCCGGGAAAATATACAGGCTGAGACATTCATTCCAGGGCCCATTGAGTTGGATGAGTCTACGATACTCACAGAAGTAACAGTCCAACCTTCTTTGGAAGAAAAGAACATTTAGCAGGAGACCGAGAAAGTAGCTGAGCCAGCTAAAGAGCTAGTAGTTGAAATAGAATCTGATAAAGAGAAGTCCCAAGTGATTGGGAAGAAGAGACCTCCTGCACACTTTCCACAGAGGCTGGCCAAGCATCAAAAGGAGGAGCAGTATAAAAAGTTCTTTGAAATGCTCAAACAAATCCAGGTAAATATTCCACTTATTGAAGCTTTAAAGGAGATGCCTGGGTACGCAAAAATGATGAAGGACTTGATGTCCCGGAAATTTGATTTTCAAGACTTGGCTATGGTTACACTTACTCAGACCTGTAGTGCAGTGGTGACGAGACCTATTGCTGAAAAGCTGTCTGATCCAGGTAGCTTTACAATTCCATGCACTATTGGAAATTTCATCTTTGTTAAGGCGCTCTGTGATTTAGGGGCCAACATTAATCTTATGCCCCTGTCTATCTATAAGAGGTTGGGTATTGGGAGAGCTAGACCCACCTCCATACTGCTGCAGCTGGCCGACAGGACTGTGAAGCGTCCATTCGGTATCCTTGATGATGTGCTTATTCAGGTGGGGAAATTTGTGTTCCCGGCAGATTTTGTGATCTTGGATTGCAAAGTGGATGAAGAGATTCCTATAATCTTAGGAAGACAATTCTTGGCCATGGGAAGAGCCCTGATTGACTGTGAGACTGGGGAGCTCAAAATGAGACCCAATGACGAGAAAATAACGTTCAATGTGCAGAAGTCTATGAGGCGACCAAGCGAGTTCGCCAATTTCTCTCTTATTGATGTCGTGGATGTAATTGTAGAGTCTGATGATGAGGTGTTGACAATTTAGGACCCCCTTGCTGCATGTTTGATGAACTTGGATGAAGTGAATGGTGAGAATTTGGTGGAATGGGTGTTGGCATTGGAAGGTAGAGGGTTCTGGGAGAGAAGTCTAAAGTTTGAGCCCTTGCACGTAGAAAAGAGAGAAACTCCTCCAGCTAAGCCATCCATTGAAGAACCACCAAAGCTGGAGTTAAAGTCATTGCCAACCCACCTCAGGTATGAATTTCTGGGACCTGACTCCACATTACCTATTATTATCTCATCTAGTGCAGGTTCAAAAACTTTTACAGGTACTAAAGGAGTGCAAAACTGCCATAGGGTGGACCATGGCAGACATCAAGGGGATCAGCCCTGCCTACTGCATGCACAAGATTCTGCTGGAAGAGGGGCACAAACCTTCCAGGGAACATCAGAGGAGGCTGAACCCCAACATGAAGGAAGTGGTGAAGAAGGGGGTGATAAAGTGGTTGGATGTGGGAATTATTTTCCCAATCTCTGACAGCAGCTGGGTGAGCCCAGTGCAATGTGTTCCTAAAAGGGTGGCATGACGGTTGTGACAAATGACAACAATGAATTGATCTCAACAAGAACCGTCACAGGCTGGAGAATTTGTATGGACTATCGAAAGTTGAATCTAGCCACCCGGAAAGACCACTTCCCACTTTCCTTCATTGATTAGATGTTGGACAGATTGGCAGGGAGGTCACACTTCTGTTTTTTTGATGGGTACTCAGGGTACAATCAGATCTCCATTGCACCGGAGGACAGAGAGAAGACCTCCTTCACATGCCCGTATGACATTTATGCCTTTAGACGGATGCCCTTTGGCCTATGCAACGCACCTGCCACATTTCAACGGTGCATGATGGCCATATTCACTGACATGGTTGAGGACGTAATGGAGGTGTTCATGGATGAATTCTCAGTTGTGGGGAATTCATTTGATGAGTGCGTGACAAATCTGACGCGTGTGCTGAAACGGTGCATCGAGACCAACTTGGTTCTGAACTGGGAGAAGTGTCATTTCATGGTACAAGAAGGCATAGTCTTGGGGCACGGGGTATCAAGCAAGGGAATAGAGGTGGATCGCGCAAAAGTTGATGTAATAGCAAAGCTGCCTCCACCAACTTCAGTCAAAACCATCAGAAGCTTCCTTGGACATGCCAGTTTTTACCGGAGGTTCATAAAAGACTTCTCCAAAATCGTCAACCCCCTATGTAAGTTGTTAGAAAAAGATCACCCATTTTTGTTTTCTGATGATTGCAGGATAGCATTTGAGGAGTTGAAAAGGAGACTGGTCACAACACCCATCATTGTTGCCCCCAACCAGGAGCAACCATTCGAACTAATGTGTGATGCCAGTGACTATGCAGTGGGAGCAGTGTTGGGCCAGCGAAATGTCACGACCCAAACCGAAGGGCTGCGACGGGCACCCGGTGCCTTACTCAACCGAGTACCAA